TTGTCCTAAATGGCATGCCGCAGGACCGCTTGGCACTTGGGCCGCCTGCCGTGTGGCCACAGTGGCCATACGCACCGGCAGGGCCATCTGGAAAGGCAAGCCGGGCGGCATGAGGCAGATGGCCGAATGCCGATCGCGGCATGTCGGCGCCCGATGAACGTTCGATTAATAGATGTCGGTGTACACATTATTTTTGACATCGCTGTACGCTTGACGACGAAATAACTACAATCACATTGATAATGTCTAAGGTGTGCTGCTATTTCTGCTACGACACGGAGTACTACACTAGCGCCACTCATCTTGCAACAATGTATCATAACACTATTAACTTCGGATGTTACCCCATTTACCTCACGGAGAAGCGAGAGACCCTCGGGCAGACCATATCGAGCCCGAGGGGCCGCCCGAAACTATTTCCCTAAATGGCGCGCGCTTGAGGCAATGGGCGGACTGGGGGTGCTGACCGTCATAGTTGACGGGCCGCACGTGCCCTCAGGGTGAGCCGGCGGTACCATCCGCTATTCTGATGGCGGATCACCTCCCGACGCATGTCATTGGTGACATGCCCGGAGTTGAAGCCGGCCTCAACCCTCGCCTTTGCGATCCCGCCGGAAGCCTTCACTCCCTGGGGCGGCGAGGATTGAAGTGATGTGAGCGGGGAACTGCGCCGAGGGAGTCAGAGGGATGCGAGCGGGGAACAGCAGTGAGGGAGTCAGAGGAACCAAGCAGCTGGGCGCATGCTTCCCAGGCATACCAAATGGGGTAACACCGAGGAAGCAGGCGACTGGATCGCTGATCCCTGCATGAGGCCCAAGCCATCCAAATCGGGTCACACGCTTCCGTTCTGTCCTCTACCGTCCTCTTCGACGTCCTCTAGAGCTCGTTCAACGCCATGGCCCTCCCTCTTCCTCCTCGTGATCCTCATCGCATTAACGCCCATGCTCCCACCTGATCCTGGGCAACCATCTAATTCCTCCCGCCGTGTCTCTCCACCTACTGCCGCCTCCTTTTCTCTTGCTCCCACGCCCAATCTACCCCGACTCTCTCGCCCTTTCCGAACTCCCTTAGACCATCTCCAAGAGGCTTTGCAACGCCGCGCACGACACCCAATCTCACCATCGCTGCCCAGGCCAGAGGTCCCACAGACCGTGATCAAGCAGGAGGAAGTGCCGACGCGTTTAGAGGACATTGGAGAACCGGGATACATCATTCAGGTGAGTATCCAATGTCATACAGCGGCACACCGCGCTCCATGCGTCTCATACTAATCAAACCCCACCTCAGATGCGACAGCGCGTGAAGACCAGCACGCCGCCTGGAGCGCGGTCGTTGCGCGAAGACGCAGATGAGGAGGCCACACCGCGTGAACAACGCTCTCGCGAGGCACGAGACACGGACACTGCCCCGACCACCCCGACTCGCCTGCGCACGGTAATCAAACCGACTGGTAAAAGCACCAGCATCAGCCACAGGGCCCAGGCACGCCGCGCGCAGCTCATGCCGCCCCCAAACCCCGAGCGCGAGGGCGATGCGATGGCTGCCGCTCCCGAAACCACCGGCCTCCATTCTATGGAGTTGCGGAACACTACGCCCCAAGTGCAAGAGGAGCGCGCCCCTGCCGCAACCATCCGCGGTGAGCAAGAGGATCCCTCTTCCGCCCCAACGTCCTCCGAGCCTCCCGCCCAACCCGGAGGGTCCATCGCGCATGCAGGAGGCTCCCAGCCGATGCACTATGCGCCAGCACCACGCACACTACGTGAAGACATGCTGCTGTACCCATACCACGCAGCACCCTTTGCCCCCACGCATTACGGTGCTGCCGGACTCGACCCCCACAACCTGAACATGTACTACCACCCGTCTCCGTACCAGAACCTGGCGGCGCCGCTGCGCTCGCGAGCCCCATCCAGCGTCTCACGTGCAGACCTCGCAGGACCCTCCGCAGAGCCCCTTGCACCTCCCTCCAAAGTGGCATCAACATCCTCGCGAGTCGCACCTACAGCCCCGCGCTCGCGAGCGTCCTCCAACGCGTCGCATATCCATCCCACCGATCCCGCTGACCCTCTGCGCTACAAAAGCGCCTTAGCCCCCCCCGGTCCAAGCGACATGCCGGGCTGGACCGTCCTCCAGGTGGCGGATCCCCAGCCCCTACTTCCACAACGGCAAGCCCTTCCTCGCAGACCCTTAACACCCCCTCCTAGCGACAGCCAGCCCTCCAAGAGGGCCCTCGAGCCCACGCCCAAGGCGACGAGTACGCAGGAGGACCCATCCACGGATGTGCCTAGCGCGCAGCAAGCGGGCACCGCGGACAATGCAGCGGCAAGTGCTGCCGGTTCCCCTATGGATGAGTCTGGCGACAAGGCGGTGCATGACACCGCCCACGATG